GAGCATCTATTAGAGTCAACCCTCAGCATCCATGTGGGTGATTGATTCCAGGACCCCCTGGGAGAGTATAAGCTTTGGATGCTCAAGTCCCTCATATAAAATATCACAGTATTTGTGTACAGCCAATGAACATCCTTTTGTATTTGTAAAATCATTCTAGATTGCATATACTTAATACTAGAATGTGTTATAAAAATATTTGTTATGCTCCATTATTAAGTGACTAATGGAAAGAAAAAGACATCTGTACATGTTCTGTATAGCACAAACATTGAGCATGTACCTATGTGTGTAGTGCATGTTTCCATCTGCACTTGCCTGAAATTAGGATGCAGAAATCCCAAATATGGAAGGCAAACTATCTTTTAATATGTCAGGAGTAGATAGTATCCAGTGGCATAGGGAGTGGAAGGAGACTAAGGAATCACTTGATTGATAATATAAAGAGAAGTTCAAGAGAAGCAAGGAAAGTTATAGAAAAGAACATGAGACTACAGTTCTCAGTATTTTCAAAAGCGAATGAAATGTCTGCATTTGCGCTAATAAAACTGAGCTTCCTGACTTCAATACCTAGTTCTTTCTGGAAATTGGAAAAATGTCAACTTAGTGTGGTAAGATTGGTTCTGTTGTGCTGATCTGGAGCCTTGGTTGGTAGTTGGAATCTTAACTAACAATTTTGGCACTTGTGGCAAACAGCATTTGGCAAACCCTAAAATCAACTTTTAATTCATGTGGTGGCTCACAGATGGGTGTTATTACCATTGTACCATCTGGCAACTTTCTATTTTAACTATGCATTCCTGCTAACTGGATACTAAGCTTTTCAAATTAATATTTTAAATTTATATGATCCCTAAATATTTATGACCTGGGACAAAAAATCCTGGTCAGGCTGACATCACTAGAGTCCTGATTCTGATTTAAAATGAAAAACATATTAGTACTTAAAGCAATTTGTCACATAAAATGACATTTTTCAAACATGGGGTTTATATGAAACAAAATTAGCAAAAAAGAGCCCTTGCTGGTTAAACACCTTTAAACTACACTGCAAAGTAGTAAATGTTTTGAGTTCCAAAATTTGATATGTTTTCCATGGTACCTGCAGTGCTCAGTGCTTGGTACATAGTGATCACTTGGTGAAAATTAACTGGAAACAGCCAACTCGGCTGCTGATACACTCCCAAAAGGTTATGTCAATGTTGAAGGGAGGGACAAACTCCAGAATGTTTTTTTAGTTGTGTGGATAGAGCCTTCAGCTAATTGGATGTCCTCTTCATGTTCCAAAGATTGATTTCTGATTTAAATCCTCCACAGACCCACACTCTCAGTCAATATCGCCTCAAATGAAATATGGTTTTCATCATATTTTCTCATGTTGTAAGATGAAGTAAGCATCTTCTTGCTTACTTCTAGTTTGTATATTTTGCTGATATACCTGTATGTGTAAACTTTTTCTTTTCTTTTCTTTTTTAAGAAATGAAATTCTTTTACAGCCTCACCCACTCTCAATAGGCCAAAAGAGCCTTCAGTGGCCCGAGGAGGCCTGGACATATTTAGGAAGGTCCTGATTCTTTTTGATTTCTTTTTGGCTATAAAAATCACAAATATTAATATCTCAGATCAGGATTTCCTTCCTTCTCTTCTTCTTTTGTTAAGTTTTTTCCTTTTGTGTGGGCCTCAACAGTTTATGACACAAGCTATGCAACTCCTGTTGCCAGACACGGTCTGGATGGAGGGAAAATGCTCTGAAAAATCAGAATTTCCATGCTAACTATGTTATGACCCCCCTTTTTTGTATAATCATCAAAATATTCTAAGCAACCATCAGTTTTCAACTGGATTGCCTTAGCCTCATAAGGCGCTGCCTGGCTCAGGCAAGCAAATGCTGCCCCAGGATGGGGAATTCCTCCTGAAGTCAAAAATATTACAACTGGTGGATTAATAAAAGCAATTGGCTTGTAACAAAATCAATATTGTAAAACAAGGCAGTACTAGAACATGTTAAAAAATAATCAGAGTTCTTTCACTGTCCAGAAGAGAACCCAAATCTTATCACTCTACCCTCTTACTTAAGCTTTCTATTGCTTAGTCTGTAAATGAAGAATCTTACTGTCACCCTTAGTGATTTATCTACAAGAAAACTTCTCTAATCTAGTCCTCGAATTGACTTTACCCTCTTTCACAACTTCACCTTGGCTGGGGACCTTACTTTATCTTTTTTTACATCTCTAACCCAGCCTCCACCCTAGTCCTGACTTTCCTCTCTAAGATGTCTCAGTGAGAATGAAGGTCATTAAGTAGCATTTAAGGTTTAAGGACTTTATTTTAGCTAATCATCACTGTGATAAATATAACAATGTTAACCTTAAGTTTTATGAATTTATATACCTATCTTTAATAGATTGATTTTAAGAATAATAAATGTTATTATTCTGAAGGTCAATACAACCCCAAACTGTTCTTAGAAAAAAAAAAGATTATTATAATCTCTCAGCCCAGTTAATGTGCTGATGTCATCCCACTGCTTGCTCATAATGTATAAAATAAACTTCTGCTGAGAGAAGAACAGGAAGACTTGCACCCAACTCCGATTCCCGTGTCTCCCTCATACCCATTCCCCTTCTCCCCCATTTTTAGAAATCTTCTCTCGCCAACGGTGCTCCCACCTGTTCTGCCCTTCAACAACCCATGATCGGGCTGGTCCCCGACAAGTTTAATTATAAGGCACTCCAGGAAAGTCTTCCTACTGTGGACATTTCTCACCTTTTAATATTTATATTTCATATTCACTTTTTTCCCACTAATCAATGTGAATTACTTTGTTGGTTAGATTTTTTACAGAGTTATTTCAGTGGTACAAAGGAAAGACATGTTTTGAGATAAGAAAAATAGAGTAGAAAAATTTCAAAATTAAAGTCAGGTACCAGACTTAGATTTAGAATTGTTATGATTTCTTAGTAATTAAAGTATAAGATAATAATAATAATGTATAATGGAAAAGTTGATAACCAAACTTCAGTTTTAAACTACTGTACTAACAAGAATACCACATTTAGAGGCCAACATTTTTCAACCATTGCCTCAATGATAAAAATTTATAGTGTAGGCAAAGAATACAACTTTGACATAGAAATGCATTCTTACAAATTAATAAATAAAAGACATGCCCATTGCAGCCAGCCGAAAGACATGAGTAAATAATTGCAAGAAAGAAATACATATGGCTAATTAATATATGTGAACTAATACACAACTCAGTGAACATCAATTAGCCAGATTTAAAACAATGAAGTCTGATATTTGTTTAGAAATTTGCAAAGATATATTGAAAAGAAACATATCTTATCTCAATAAGGAGTCAGGCAAAGGCCACACTCAGACTCTGCAGTTTGCAATTTGAGCCCTCTCTGGTAGCGCAGCCAGCGGTTTAAAGCACAGCACTAAGAAGCTAAAGCCCTGTCAGCATGAGTTTGATACCCGCCCCAGAGGTGACCCACATGGTACTGCAAACCTCTCCTGATCCTCCCTCATACTCCCCTCAGCAGTTCGTCATTCTGCCTGTTCTGCTCCCCACTCTGTCTCTGGTGAGTCCTCTCACCATCCCTGCACCTCTGGCCTGTGCCCCAGTTCTGTTTGCATAAATAAATAAATCTTTTTAAAAAATTAAAACAAAAACAAAAACAAAAACAATTTGGGTAAGTCTGTGTAGAAGGAAATTTGGCTGAAACTTTTCAAAAGCACTTCTCTTTTGACCTACCAATACATCACTTCTTTCTGGAAATATTTTTGAGAACCTACAACATGCCCATTCATATCTAGTTAGTGAAACCAAATTTCAAGTGTCAGAGATAAAACCCTTCAAGTCATTTACAAAGGTGTTATTTAGTAATTATTTACAGTAGTGAAATATTGAATGCAAATTAAATGTTTAGCAGTAGGAACTTAAAGCAAATTATGGTACACTCATGTAGTAAAATATCCCACAGACATTAAATAATAGAATGAAAATATTGTCATGTTACAATATATTGTCAGATTAACACTCAATATGTACAAACTAATTTTAATTGTTTAAAGATACTAGTAGAAGTTTCTAGAAGCTTATATACCATCCTCAAAAAATTTTTTGGCCATTTTTTTTCTTAATATTATTTATATTTCCATGCATTATCAGTCATAATTGCTGATTATCATTGCAAGCAGGGAAAATGTTTTTGATAATTATAAATGATTTTTTAATCTTAAGCACATGGTGTATGTAGTGTTTGAATGAAATTGTAATTAGTCAATGCAGCTCACTAAGTGAGAGAAATATAAAGTTCTTTGCATTTAAAAAGCTTAGCATTAAACTTAATGAACACAAACACCAAAGATTTCAACTAATGAAAGCCAAGTTATTTCTCACCCTCAGTCCAAAAATATTTTATCAAAAGCCACCATTTGTACAGGTTCACATTATCCATGTAACCAGATAAAGTCACCCTGAAGACTTTGCTCTTTCCCCCCACATGTTAAAGACTCACAGCTCTCGCTATAGTGAGTCCCAAGAACAATAAACCTGGACTTGCACAGGAATCTTCCATCACAGCATGTATTATTTTTCGAGGTTGACATTTTGTCTAACATCTTTCTTGAAAGAAAGAATAATTTATCCCAAAAGAAACACATCTCTATAAATAACTCAAAGGATGGGTGGGAGGACACCCAACAACAGTACTTTTTTTTTTTTTTTCCCAGACTATTACTCCCAGTATGTCCAAAATATTATATGAAGAAGGTAAAAAGAGTAGACCTAAAATCCTCTTTACTTTGATGTCTGGAAGCCCAGTCATGCCCTTCACCTTGTTTCTTGCTTCTATTGTCAGAACTAAGCTCTAGAATGGCAGGAAGTAAGTGTGACTGAGGATAATGTATATTTCTATTTCAGGTTTATTTCCAGTTTTGTGTGCTGTGTGCCATCACCATATATTGATGTGTGACTGTTGTTCTTTCCCTAGAATGTCGAGTGGTGAAGTCCACCTCTTACACCAAAATAGCTTCATCATCTCGCCGGAGCACTACCAAGAGCCCAGGACCTTCCAGGCGCAGCAAATCCCCTGCATCAACTAGCTCAGGTAAAACACAAGGGAGACATGGAAGAAATGGGCTTGATTCTGAGGTCTGACGAGCTGAAGGTGTATGAAGGTCAGAGCATGAGGTTTAAAGACTGTCGATTCCGGTTTGTTATTTTAGAACATGGAAGAGTGGTGGAACAGATTTGCCAGAGTCTAGCATGTTGGCTGCAAGAAAAAACATTGAGTTCAGGAATTTAGCGAAGACTCAGGAAACCCAGATTTACCCACAAATAGAAGTACATTACCAGCTTGTTTCATTTCTATTGCAAAAATTAATTTTTCAGGTTAAGGGTCCCAAACTCCAGATGCTTTTGTAACAGTGTTTATTCTACTTAGAATTGGCTTATGAAGAGTCTCTGATACATACTCGCTAGACTTTTGTTTAACGTGCTTTTTATTGTGGCTGTCAGTACAACTTTACAGCTAAATGCTGTGAGAATGAGGCTCCGGGCAGGGCCTGCTGCATTGGCCAGCCTGTGCCCTATTTCTCGGTGGCTCTCATCCTAGTGAGGGAGCAGTATGTGTACTCACAAAATGACCTTCTCATTCATCCCTGTCTTTTCCTTCTTTGTCTTACAAATGACATGAGTTAGTTAGACAGTATTTTTGTTTGTTTGTTTCATTTTGGGTTTCAGGTATAAGATCTATTTCAGTAGTAAGGGAATTATTTATTAAATGAGGTAAACTATTATAATAGTACATGAAAGTGATTGTCACCCAATTTAATGAAGACAGAGAAGCTCTTTTCAATAAGAACAAAGACCTTTAAGGCCTACACAGAAGCCTCTGGTATTCCACAGTGGGGGCCCAAAGGATGTGAAAGGAGCCGTGGGCTGGGCCAGGCCACAAGGCCTGCCTCCTGGATCAGTTATCAGCTGTTACACGGCTGTGTAAATTGTGATCTTCATCTTTTAAAGTGGAAGTGCTAAAATATGTTTTTTTGTGTTTTTTTTTTCTAATAAAAGATAAAATCTATTTCAAAGCTAGTCTGGGAGGAAGGAACCCTGAGATCAGGGCAGTAAGACCTACCAGCCTGACTTGGTTCTCTATAAGTCACCTTGGGACTTCTGCTGTTTCTTTAGACAGGTCATCAAAGGCACTGATTGCAATAATGTGCTATCACTGCCCCTTCACACAGTGTGTGACCTATTAGGAAACAAGCTCCAGATCACAGCTGGCACTTGAGATGGGGCTTCCTTGCCACTTTCAGTAGAAAGGTAGGCAGAGAATCTTCCCTTCACATGACATAGCTCACCCAGTTTAATGGAACACAAAATGACTTTGCTAAACAGTAAGGTAATGAGACTGAAAGCTTATAATGTATGTGATAGATATTTGGAGACTTGGTTAAATTTGGCAACTGCACCCCCCTCATCCTCACATTCTCACTTTGTTAGCAAGTACTCAGGCAACTCCAGTGGGATAGTTTATGGTCCACACTTGGAGAAAGTGGGTTAATGAAGTGTGGTTCTCACCAGAAGTATCACCACCACCTGAGAACTTGAAAGCACAGATCTTGAGTTCCTGCCTAGATTCACTGAAAAAAAAAAAAAACAAAAAAAAAGCAAAAAAAAACCCTGGAGCTGGAGGCCAGCAGACTGAGGTTTCCCAACATTCCCAGGTGACTCCCAGGTGCTCATCCAAGTTTATGAACTACTGAGTTGTGGCTAACAAAAGGGAAATAAATAGAGGCAGTCACATGACTCTTGATAATCTGGGGTGAAAGCTAAGCCTTGTTCATCTTCATTTATAGGCATGGCAGTGCTACCTTCTTTTTTATCTTCCTGCCTGCCTCATGGCCACTTTTAACTCTACAGCCTGAGTGCAAAACTCTAGATACTTTGAAGTGTAAGTCAGTGGAGCAATGAGCAAAGAGGATCAGATGCTGTCTACTTCCATTCACCTGAGAGAAGGGATAATTTCTCTCAGAAGATCATTTTCCATAGCAGTCTCTCCTCTCAGCAGAGATATTGCCTTCTCAGACATGTGGAACTCTGCAAATACAATGTGAAATATATAGTTAAATTATATTTAATGGCACAGAGGGTTAAAGCACAGCACTAAGACGCTTAAGCCACTTCAGCATGAGTTCAATCCCTGCCCCGGAGATGACCCACATGGTGTGGCAGACCTCTCCTGACCCACCTGCTGCTCCCCTCGGCAGTATTCTTCATCAGTCGGCCTGTGCTTCTCTCCACTGTCTCTGGTGAATCCTCTCACCACCCCTGCACCTCTAGCCTGTACCCCAGTTCTGTAATGCATAAATAAATCTTTTAAAAGAAAAAAATCATGAATCTAATCTTAAAATACATAATTATGAATAAAGGAAATTATTTCACTTTAGAATTAACTGGTAGTATAGCCATTATTTGGTATCTCTAAGATTTTATATATATTCAATTATAATATTGAAAGTATAGATGACTATATCATTTACTTTTGGTAAATGATATCCTTTTGGAGTTTTTTCAGAAACTCAAAAAAAAGCAGATAGGCAAATGCATTGAATATATTTGCCTTGGTCATTGCCAATATTAGAATTATTCCTTTAGAATTTCTCACACAAGCATTACTATTTGCTATTGTTTCCTTGAAATCCATTTTCTCTAGTTAAAACCTGGTTGATTTGACCAGCTCTAACTTTGAATTTGTGATACGAAAGTCATGCCAGGTAGTGTCCTGTTTTAGCAGGAAAGCAAAATCCAGATTCAGTCTAAAATATATAAGTCCTTTAACAAACATAATCACATTCAAGGTATCTTTAACTCCAAGGTCAAAATTAAATGAAATTAATTGAAATTAACTTCAAATATTCCTGAAGATATATCATGTGGCCATTTCCTGGTTCTATAACAGTATGTAGTATTCTGTCTTTTGATTGTTACTTGCTACTAAATTTTGTCACCTTCCTCTGTTGAGTCTAATTTAGAGTTTACAGAGCAACCTATATCTAGTTTGCAAATGTGTGGACTATGCCAATGACCCAGGACCATTACCTAAACCTAAGGCTTAGTTGATCGAGTAGTATTTTCATTTCCTGTCAAGATGAGTACAGCTGTTCTGTGTCAGGGGTGTCTGTGCTTTAGGTACTCTGCTCTCTACCCAAGTCCTAGAAACTAAAGATACTTTAAATGAGGTGTCCCACCTCTGCTCAAAAATGAGTCTTGAAGCCAGTGGAAAGGAGCACAGAGTTACCTCTGTCTTGATTGTATCACTGTTTTCTTAAAATAGTCTGTTCCATGTTTCCCCTAAGCCATAAAAACTGGAATGTAAATTTTACTTTCATACCGTTTAAACATGGATACTGGCCCCCAAGTCTCATGACCACCATAAACTTGACTTTTCAGTGTTTTCCCCCTAAAATACTAGTCAACATTTGAAATGATTTCTACTTGAGCTTTTCAATTTCTGCTTTCAGTTGTCATCTTCCTACATTATACAGAGATTGAAGCACAAAACAGGAAAGGTAAAACTTGCTCAGTTTGCTTGCCATGTTGCTGTTCATGAAAATATCATTAGCTTATTTAAATTAACATCAGAATTTACATAAGAACTTCATCTTCTTAACTTGTTTGATCCTTCTGATGAGCTCCCAACAACAAGCAAGGCATTATAATTATGTAATAATAGATCCCATTTTTAGTAAGGTGCATTCAGAGGCAAGGCTGAGAGAACTCTGTGCCCAGAGTCACTGATAAGGGCAGCTCAAAGCTGGGACTTGAACTTTTAGGGTTCTAGACACAATAGACTAATAACCTTACCTGTTTCTTTACCTCTGATAGAATTTTTTTCTCCAAGAAATAACTCATACAGTACCTGGTTTAACATGGCAATTTACAGCATCATAAAACTTTGCAACAGAAGCGTAAGTGTTAGTCAGAGACACCAGCATTCTGGGAGTCTGACATTCAACTTCACGATGAATGTCAGTGATAGACAGAAACTTTCCTTTGTATATGAGTGTTAGAACACAAGTGAAAATCTGCTATAAATCTTCTCTTTTTCCCTTGTCCATATCCTTTCTTGGGACTAAAAGAAGGGAGAGGTGATTTATTAATATAAGGTGTTCATTTACACATTCAGAAATACCCCATGCAGGCATGCTAGAGTCATCAGGCATTTGCTAGGTGCTAATGATGCAGAGATGAAAGCAACAGCCCCTATTCTCAAGAAGCATACAGGTCAAACCCCTCCCATAATTTATAGATAACATAATTCACATAGCTGTTGAATTATTATTAGACTCCTTAACAGAAAGGGTCCAAAGAAGGCAATTGGAGGTAGGAAAAAGAGAAGCCAGAATCTTAATAATATTCAAGAGGAATAAGGAGGTCCCCAAGGCAATTGAGTGTCAAGACATGGAATACAAAATGCAAACTGGTTTTTAATGACTTCTAAAATAAATGAGAATGTATCATACACAAGAAAATATCCTAAAGTGTTTAATAAGAGTTGAATGTTCGTGTGTGTCTGTCTTTGGAATACTAACATCTCATAAAGTATTTAATTTAAAAGTAAAGTCTTTGCAACGTATTTATCTTCACGGGAAAGTTATAACAAAATATAGCCCAACATAAGAATACGATGTTCAGTAATTCTGTTTTCATAAGAACAGTGGTTTAATTTTGTTTTATTGTATTATTACCAAAAGTATGAGAAAACTATGTTTACCTATCTTGAGTTTTCATTGCAGCAATTTCTTGAAAACTTACTGATTTCAATATTTTCACTTCCACTTGATTCTCTTCACATTTCAGTTTGTTTTTTTATGTATTTTTTTAATTGAGGTAATAATGTCTTACAGCAATATATGCTATTTAGAGAGAGATGTTAACATACCACACCCACCACAGTCCTCCCCCATCGAATATAGGCCTCATCTCCTCATTGCTCCCCAATTCTACCCTCCTTCTCGGTAGTCTCAGTTCTACTGTCTGATTTCCCAAGGTTAGTTTTGGTATAGTTTGTCTGTTCCTTTTTGTTCTTGCTTTTATTCTACA